GAAAAAAAGCAACAAACTGGGCTTCATCGCATTTAAAAAACATTGGACCTTCAAAATAGGTTAAGGAAGTTAAAAGGCAATCCATAGACAAGAAGATGTGCGTAAAACATATATCAGCCAAAGGACTATGTCTAGAATGTATGTGTTAAGTTAATTACACAAGGAAGCCATTAGACTGAGGTGGTTTTAATGCCTTAATAGCCTACCAAGCAAACCAAAACCTAAGCCTCTAATGCCTCAAGGGTAAGAATTCAAATCAAAGAACAACCAATCACAAACAGCCAACTAGGCTTTCCCAAATAATACAACTATTTAAGCTATAGCCAGTCAAATAATTTTCTTCCTTTGCTTCCACCTTTTCTATATAAAAGGTGTTCCTCTAGTTCCCGTTGGTGGAGCACTCCTAAGCACTTTGGGTTTGGGGCTGTCCTATTTGATCTTAGTTAAATAAACTCTTAAAATTTTAGTATGCCTCATTTTATCTTTTAATATAAAGCACAATAGCAACTTAACAAGAATACACAGTGGGCAAAGGATTCACTGAAGAAGATACACAGATGATAACTAAGCACATGAAAAGATGTTCAATATCATGTTACTAAGGAAGTGCAAATTTAACCAAAATAAGGTACTCTATATGACTACTCCAAAGTCTAAAATGTTAAAGGCTGTCCATATCAGGTGTTGGTGAGGATATGGACTAAGTGGAGCTCTCAAATTGGAAAACAGTTTGGCAGATTCTTAAAAATGTCATACATTTACCATAAGACCCCAACATTCCACTCATAGATTTTTTTTTACCCAAGAGAAATGGAGACATAGGTCTACAAACAGACTTAGGCAAGAATATTCATAATAGCTTTATTTACAACATTCAAAAACAACCCAAATGTTCATCAACAGGTGAATGAATAGCCAATTATGGTATATCTCTATAATGGAACAACCCTCAGCAATAAAAAGGAGTGAACTGTTGATATAAGCAACCAAATGGATGAATATCTAAATAATTATACTGAGTTTTTAAAAGCCAGACCCCCCCCAAAAAAAAGAGTATCTGCTCCATGATCCCATTTATACAAAATTCTAGAAAACGCAAACTAATCTATAGTGACAGAAATGGGTTGCCTGGAGATTGGGGGGTGAAAGGGAGTGGTTAATGGACATGCTCGATATCTTGATTGTGGTGATAGTTTCACAGATGTATACATATGTCAAAACTTATCAAATTGAAAACTTGAAAATGTGCCATTTATTGTATGCCAATCATCCTTCAGTAAAGCTATGAGAAAAAAGAAAACCACACAATGAAATAAAAGAAAAGAATAATACACCATGACCAAGTTGGGTTTATCTCAATAATGCAAGGTTGACTTAATATTTGAGAATCAGTTCATGTCATTTATCCCATTAACATCATAAAGGAGAGAACGACATACATAATCATCTCAATAGAGGCAGAAAACAGAAATAATTCATCTTCAGAGAAATAACACAAGAAAACATGCCACAATTTAGTCATGAGCTTCCAGACTGAAAGGGCCCACGAAGTATAATGCAGAATGAATGGTGGGGGGAGGGAACCTCACTATAAGAAACATCAATGGAAAAGTTCAAATGAGAAAGAAAAAAGAATATCCTAAACGCTTTCAGAAAGAACCAAAAGAGAAGTCACATATTAAAGGAGAATCAGAATGGATTTGAGGGCTTCTCAAGAGCAAGGGAAAGCTGGAAGATAAGAGAACAATGCCTTCAGAATTCCAGGTAAAAAAAAATTTTGCAACCTAAAATAATTATCAAATCAAACTCTCAATCAAGTATATGACAGGAAATTAAAGACATTCTAGTATATTCTGAAAAACATATTCCTCTGTACCCTTTCTCAAGAATATAGTGAATTTTTTTTTCCCACCAAAACAAGGGAATATACCCAGAAAGATAAAAAAAATATAGCAGTCAGGCAGGAAGAATCCCCGGGGATGAAAGTGAAGAAAAGTCCCACGACAATAGCTGTACACTAGATCTAGAACACAACCAGACTAGGTTATAGTAGAAAGATGGAGGTACTCATTTGGATGTTTTCAAGACCAAAAAAAAAAAAAAAAAGAATTGATAGAATGTCTGATTTTTTTTTTTAAGATTTTATTTATCTATTTGACAGAGAGAGCACAAGGGAGGTGGGGCGCGGGGGAGGGGCAGAGGCAGAGGGAGAAGCAGACTGCCCACTGAGCAGGGAGCCTGATGCAGGTGCAGGGCTCCATCCCAGGACCCTGAGATCACTACCTGAGCTGCAGGCAGACGTCCAACCAACTAAGCCACCCAGGCACCCCTGAATGTCTGGGGTTTTTTTAACCATATTGTGAGATTTAAATTTCACTCAGAGTTTGGGGTTGAACTATTGATGGATAGGTATACAGAAAATTAAGCAAATAAAAAACAAGATAATTCTTTACTCCAAGTTAAACAAAAGGTTGTATAAAAAATATTCTTATACAACACTACATGATTCAGTAAGAAATAGTACTTACATAGCTATGACTGTTTTTATATTTAATATTGATTTCACTATAAATTGGTGACAACCCTCTATTAGAAGGGGGAAGGCTAAGTGTGAATATTTGAGGTGGTGTGAAAGTGTTAAATCTTATCTTCTATAGTATAAAGTTAATAGATAACAGCCCAAACTGTTGATTTTCATCATCAAGCGAACAGCAATATAAATGTGTTACTTAGAAAATTTGAGATATATGCCAAAAGAAATAAAAGTGGTTGCCTCTATGGAGTAAGGAAAGACAAGTCAGGAGCTGCTGGTGGCAGGGGAGGTGGGGAGGCTTTAGGTCTTATAATATTTTTAAAGTATTATTTGACTTTTAAGACTATGTACAATGTGTGGGGCGCCTGGGTGGTTCAGACGCTTAAGCGTCTGCCTTCAGCTCCGGTCATGATCTCAGGGTCCTGGGATTGAGCCCCGCATCGGGCTCCCTGCTCAGTGGAGAGCCTGCTTCTCCCTCTCCCTCTACCCCTTCCCCCCCTCCCCATTCATGTTTTCTCTCGCTCTATCTCAAATAAATAAATAAAATATTTTTTAAGAAAAAGACTATGTACATGTGTTACTTTGATTTTAAAAAAGCAAAACACGACTCTCTTTGCTGTCATAATCCAACAGTTTCTATAATGTTTGATTACATTTCTTAGAGTCACAAAGACAAGCATAAAGAGGTTTAGGAACAAACACAACTGATTCTTGGTGATGAACCCCTTAAGTAGAAGAAGAGCTATGAGGGCTTGCGCAAAGAAGCCTACCAGCTATTTGCATTCAGCAAGTCAAGGGCACTGGGTCGGCCGCTCTCTTACAGGAATACAGAGCGCTGGTTAATCTAGCAAATCATTTAAACTGAGGTCGGTTAAAAGAGCTTCTACTGTAATGAATCCTGATAATAAAGGAGATGAAATAAAACAGCCTTAATCCATCCACTTTTGCTACCCTGTCATTTTCCCATGGGTTGGATGGAAGAAATTTCACAAGGAGTGGAACTCAAGATCATCCTTCTCAGGGTCATTCAATTTGCCCTGAAATATTAACCCTCTTGAGGGAAATCTGCAAATGAGGATAAATTAGAGACCTTAAGAAGGGCAGGCTATCTTATACATCCTTTGGCTTAATCCACAAAATGAGTTGGAAAGGTGGCCAAAGAGATAACAAAGCAAAATCTGCCTTTTGCACCATGATGGACCTGATTTCATTTCAGTAACTAGATTATTCCATGGTTGCCTCCTCGTCCTTTGCATTTGGAGTAAGGATACACATTAGCATCTCAAGAGAAAATAAGCAGTCGGGAGCCAAAACAGGACTTGGGACGCAGCCTCCTGTATCCACACTGAGTAGGCTTGTCCCGAATCTCCTAGTGTCAAAGTCGCCACCTTACCTACCCCATCAGTGAAACCTTGCGGTTTTGAGAATTTTGGATTGCTAATTATTAAAAGAGTTAAGGATGTACAGCCACCTTTTCAACAAATCAGCCGACTGCTGATCTCTTTGCTGTGCTATTTGGAGCAATGATCTGCAGAAATATTGCCCAGTAAGGGAAATGTGTCTCTTGCTCTTTTACTTGGACTCAATTCTGGAGGACGTAGGAAGATGAGATCCACCTCCCTTTCCCCCATTTGCTGAGCCCACAGGGCGTAACAGCCTTTCCTGATAAGAAATTGTCAAATTTCCTATACAGCTGAAACCAGAAAACCAAGCAAGGCAGAAATCGGCTTTTAGAAAGGACAGAGCTATTAAATGATTTTACTTTTCTATACGTAGATTCAGCTAGGAAGGGCCATTTGGATCTTCTGAAAGGACACTTCTCATAGCCCATGCAAATCAACTCAAAACAAGAATTCTCTTTATTCAGAAGTCTTTAGGCTACTTTCTTCTTTGGCATCAGTAAGCACAGAATGTGACTCAGGTTCAGCTGCATAAACGTCTTCTTGGTTGAGTCTATAACCATCTCACTGGCCACTCCCCATTGAGTGGCCACCTCACTAATGTCTAGGCCCCAGCTTTGGTCATTTGCCAGGCTTTGACCTTGCCACAAATCTATCAGTATTTGCCATCTTGTTTTTGGTGGGACTGAACAGTTCATTTTAGATAGGAAAACTTGATTTTTTTTTTTTAATCATTATTATTTGAACACAAGAGAAGCCTGTTATGGTCACTCTCTTCCCCTTACTTTCAGACCACCTTATTTTGCACGTTGCAGGACACAGATCAACCACAGAGTAATTTGCATTTACACTTTTTACAGATAGCCATTCGAATCACCTCGTATACACTGGATGTCCCCTCATCTTATTGTTCACCTCCTCCACAACTCCTGCCTTCCCGGCAATGTTTTGGAGCTGTTGCTGAGTTTCATTACCTAATGGGGAAGACTGTTGAATTACTGAATGATTTTCTAACTGGAATCCACATCTTCTTAAGCCGTATTAAGTAAGGGGCCCCAGAGAGGTACCTCAGTATCAGAGCTGTTGCCATTCAGAGCCTCCATGTTTGGGTCCCTCCAGTCTTCTGAGAGTGAAGGGATGTAATTGTCTGTCAGAGCATCCCAAACCCTGTAAACAAAGAGAAGCTCTTATTAGCACACATCTGTGGCCTAGCCCCGCCTGGAGGAAGGAAGAGCTGGGCCAGGGGAGGAGAGAGGCTTCTGTGTGTGCCAGGCTGAGATCATCTGCCTTCCAGCATGCAAGAGCAAAGCAGCTTAGAAACGGAATTAGAGGCACTACCAGGAAAGAAAGAGCCAAGAGAATGGACCAGGGGCTTCAGCATGAAAGGTGCTTGCTTAAGAGAAGAGGGCTTTCTCACCATTGAGATATAAATGATAGAGTCTACACTCAAATCACCTCTGCCAAAAAATAAATTGCCCCTGAAAATAAATCTGCCCCTCGACCAAGTAGTTCATGTGTCATGAACCTAAGAAATGCCCATTTTGGAGGCGCCTGGGTAGTTCAGCCGGTTAAGCGTCTGCCTTCGGCTCAGGTCATGATCCCAGGGTCCTGGCTGGGATCGAGTCCCACATCGGGCTCCCTGCTCAGTGGGGAGTCTGCTTCTCCCTCTGCCTGCCGCTCCCCCTGTTTGTGCTCTCTCTCTCTGTGTCAAATAAATAAATACAATCTTTTAAAAAAAGAAAAGAAAAGAAAAGCCCATGTTGGAGGCACCTGGGAGGCTCAGTTGTTAAGCATCTACTTTCGGCTCAGGTCATGATTCCAGGGTTCTGGGATGGAGCCCCACATAGGGCTCTCTGCTCCGCGGGAAGCCCGCTTCTCCCTCTCCCACTCCCCCTGCTTGTGTTCCTTCTCTCGCTTTGTCTCTTTCTGTCAAACAAATAAATAAAATCTTTAAAAAAATGCCCATGGGGCGCCTGGGTGGCTCAGTTGGTTAAGCGACTGCCTTCGGCTCAGGTCATGATCCTCGAATCCCGGGATCGAGTCCTGCATCGGGCTCCCTGCTCAGCGGGGAGTCTGCTTCTCCCTCTGACCCTCTTCCCTCCCGTGCTCTCTATCTCTCATTCTCTCTCTCTCAAATAAATAAATAAAATCTTTAAAAAAATAAAAATAAAAATTAAAAAATGCCCATGTTTCCTTTCCTTTCCTATGGGCAAAGAAGATTGAGAGAGAAGGAGGAAGATCATGATAGATGATAGATAGATAGATATAGACAGGCAGGTGAATATTGGGGCAGATTTTCTGGCTGAATCTCATTAAGATCAGGGCCATCATAGAGTTTAGATGCATTTCAATTTCAGAGGCCTGCAACCTAAATGGTTAAGAATTAACTCCTTTACATCAAAAACTAATGATGTAGTGTATGGTGATTAACATAACATAATAATAATTTAAAAAAAAGAATTAACTCCTTGATATCTAATGTAGCTAAGGGGATAATGCCAATGCTATTCATGCTTACTTATTACCCAAAATGCTCTAGAGAGCCCACAGGTGGTACAATGCCGCCCTCTAGCAATAGAAGTCTCCCGTCGTGGACGCTCTAAGGCAAATATATGAAAGGAATCAATCAATACCCTCTAACAGTTGGTTTTTAGTGAGGGAACATGGGGCTCCTTTTATTACATTTCTTTTAAAAATTCCGATATGTACATTATAAGAAACGCTTTTCTACAATTCAGGGCATTTAACTCACTTATCTCAGAAACATTTCTTGGAGGTTAGGGGAAGTTACCCAAAGTCACAAACTCTCACACACAGGAAAATAAACAAATGAGTCAACACTGAGAGATTAATGTAAATCAGTAAACCAAGTTCCTAAAATGATGCCATCCAAGGTAGCCAGTGACACTTGAGTTAATATTAGCTAATGATAAATGAGGGCTCTATGCAATCTCCCTCAGGTGCCTACGCATGTCAAACACCAGCGATACCTACGAAAACAAGGTCTAAGAAGGTAAACTTTATTTAGATTGACTAATATAAGGAAACAGCCATTTAAAGATAAGCAACTAAGTATACATATGGATCAAATTCAAAACATGACAAAATCCAGGGTAAGATGCTGAAAAGGTAAGTGCAGGATGGACAAGAGCACAGACACTGGAAATTTGGACAGGGGAGTGCTCTTAACAGACGTAAAATCCAGAATGTTATAGGATTTGCGGGCATAGAAGCAAAGAGATTTTTCGTAGCGCACAAGGTATACAATCAGTCATGAAGCACATTGAAGGAACTCAAGAAAACACAATTTCATAGCCATGCTTGGGTGATCCGCTTATTCGTTATTCTCCTACAATTACAAGAAAGCACTTTGAGAGGACTCATCAAGTGTTCATTAGACATCCATTCAGCAGGATTTCAGAGTCTGCTTCTTAAACATGGGTGATAATCCAATCTCCATCAGGCACCATCAGAGCTTCATTAATCCAGCCTAATGCTAAACACCAAGTCTCAGTAGCATTCTAAAGCCGAGAGGCAAACACGATTTGCTGTCTCCAAGACAAAACTCCCAGCACCACACCCACCGGGAAGGCCCGCGGACCACTTCTCCTTGCATCGCTGTGTTACATTCTCTGCTGCAAGAATCAACAACAAGCATGCGGGCATTGACCTTCGGATTTGTCCCTGCAGCAAGTGCCTGGGAAAATGAAATTCAGCAAAGCCCCAAATAGGCAGGAGCCTTTTGTGCCTGTCCTAGGCTGGATAGAAGCTGGGAACTTTAATGAACTGCACACTTGCCAATGACCTTGAAACTGTGTGCATTCTTAAAATGACAAGTAGGGATTCTGTCAAATCATGTAGGGAGGGGCAACTTTTCTCATGTGAGCCTTCACTGACATGCTCTGGATATTATCTTCTGATTCTAGATTTTTAGGGATGACTCCATACACACTTGTCTCCTCAGGATTTCAAACCATCCTCATTCTTTCCTGTCTTGTCCGTATTTTCTTCTTCTTTTCTGAAGTACTCTTTCCCCTTTGAGGTTCATAAAGAACCTTTAAGATGGAAGGACTCTTTCTCTCTGTAATTGCTCGCATACCTTCCCACACTCCCACACGCATTCAGTGCCCACGTAACAATAACACTAGCAGCCAACACTTCATGGGCATTGACTATAAGCCAGATACTCTTCTAAACCTTTCTGTGGATCAATTCATTCATTCCTCACAACTCTATAAGGCAGATCCTAAGGAGAAAAAAACTGAAACAGAGAAGTCCGTTAACTTGTCTAAGTTCACACAGCCAGTAATTGCAGAGGTGGGATTTGAAACTGGGCAATATGGCTACAGAGCCTATATTCCTAACCACATGACTATTCTGATTCTTTATAATTTTATGATGGGCACTGGCACGGGCTTGAGAATAATATACCAAGTTCCCAATCACAAGCCAGAACAGCAGTTCAGACACCGGCTCTGCGTGAAAGCTCTCTAACTATATTATCCTTGGACAGGATGCTTTCATCCGTCTACAAAAGGAGGAATGGTGGGGGCAGCGGGGGCCATGAGGGCTTCCGGTCTAGCTCTCCTGCCCCAGCGACAGTTAAATGGAAGCCAAAGGCAGAACCCTCACAGCAGGCAGCCAGCCACTGGAGCGGGAGCCGGGAGCAGAAGAGCCGGTGGTGGGAGGGAAAAACACAAAGCTTTTGTGAGGAAGAGAATGGGAAGGACTTTCTCCCCAGAGAGGCTATCTATTCTCCCACAAGCAGGGGCCTTGGGAATGAATATACTCCCTTTTATAGGCACCCTGAGGAGGACTGTGAAATTCTACTTCCCTGAGAAGCACCCCGCTACTTACTCTTATCTTAGGGAAGGGAGACTCTGAATGTTACCTCCTAGTTCTGTTATCAAAGAGCCAAGATTAAACAGGTTGCCTCAATTCCTGTCATTATGCTGCCATGGCACCCGTGATTCAGTTTGCTCTCTCAGTCCCTGTAATGACAGAAATGGCTCTTCGTGTGCATGGTTTATGGCCTGGGCTTATTTAGGTGCCTATGGAATAGACTAAACTATCTTTCACCATACAGGGCTAGGGATTCGGAAACAGACACTGGCAGAGTGAACGGACTGAGCAGGATGGGTTGTGACAGGACCCGAATACAAAGATCTGGGTCTACTGGCAACATGGCCATCAAGGCTACGTGAGTCCTGCCCAGCCCCCAACACACACGCACGCACGCACACACACACGCACGCACCCCTCTTTGTACCTATTCTTGACAACATGGCAGGGAGCTAGCCTAAAGGGCTTATTAGAATTCCAATTTGATAACATTTCTCTTAATACCCTCAAGGCTGGCTCCTGCTCTCAGCCAGTGTTTTGTGTCCAATCAAGCCGATAGCCACACTTGGCTGTGTGTTCACGTGAGTATGTTAATACTTGTTTCGCAGTTAAGACTTAGGAATTATTATTAGTACATGATGGCTTCGAACAACTTTTTAGATTCTTTCAAGGACTTAAATGGAAGCAATACTACCTCTGCCCTCTGGGGAAACAACCTCTGAGAAGAGAAAGAGCTTTCTTAAAAATCAGTTATCCATGGTTTTCCCTACCCTGAGTATTTGGTATTTACTTGTCTTCACGTTCAAGTATGGCTGACTACGGGGTATTTATTTACAGTGTGGACTTTGTTTGATTTTAAGTTTTTACTTGTTTAAGTCATCTCTACACCCAGCGTGGGGCTAGAACTCACAACCCCAAGATCAATAGTTGCATGCTCTTCCGACTGAGTCAGACAGGCGCGACCCTGTGTAGACTTTATTTTTAACACCTTTAACCCAATAATTCTATCTAAAGAACAGGAAACTGTGATTGTTCTCACATGTTTGGCCCCTCTGCATCCAGGGTGCCTGTAAGAGGGCCTATCACAACCCCAGTGAGGCAGGCGGTGGGCTGAGGTCCCTAAAGGGTCTCTGGCCTCCGCATTCAATCCCTTACGACAAAGGAAAGGATGATCATACATGTGCAAAGAATAGATTCTGGAAGTTTCTAAACTTACAACCAGGAAATAGCTATTCAAATTTGACTCTCCTGTAGTATCTAAAACTTCCATGCCCTGACAATCAAGAGTTAAGTTGACATCTCAGCCAATTCCCTATTGGCCAAATAGTTCCACATGAAAAGAAAGAAATCCAAACTTTAAAGGGAATTACTGCACTCGCTTTATGACTTGTGCTATCTTTAAGGAGGTCAGTTTGACTAAGAATTTCACAGCTTTTGTTTTATGTTTCTATTATTTAGCTCTAACCCAGCCAAAACACTTTCAGTCCATTTGTGGATGAAATACCCATCCCAATACCAAACCTAGGCAAGTTTATTACAAGCTATGCTCAGGAGAATCATATCCAGATTAGATATTAAATTATCTTTTTCCTTACTTCATCATAATTTTATAGTTTATAATTTTACAGTGTCTGGATAGGTATCTATAGGCAAAATGTGCAATTTAACTCTGATTTTTATTTTAAGTTGGAAGGGTTTAGATACATTGACCGCCTAGAAAGCACAGTGTTAATTTCTCTGTTCCAGCTTCCTCCCTCTGTGCTATCCCCAAACTGTACCTTATCTCTAAGGAAATATTCAACCTTTGGTCTTTTAGCTGAAGCAGTCAATGAGGCAGGCAAGTCAGAAAAATCAGGGTGAGCGGAATAACCCCATGTGATGGTAATTAACATTGAGTGGCCTCTGCTAATGTGCTAGAAGAGAGTAAGAACCTGCTCACTGGGCCTTCATCCTTAATGAGGCAGTGGGGAGCCGGGGCCGGGGACGGGGGGGGGTTAGATAGGGAAGAAATGATTTGTTGGAAGCAAAGATGGGACACATCTTAAAATGTCATTTTCAGAGCACAGCCTGGGTGAGGTAAGGAATTAGGTTCTTTCCAAGTCCTTAGCCCCGCTTCATCAAGAATGAGCTCTGGAGGTTTCCGAGATGAGGACCCACACAGTCGACTAGAGTTAAGTGACTAGCCCAAGGTCACACAGTGAGTTAGCAAGAGTATGAAAATTATAATTCACAGTCTTGGTGTTGTCTCGTTCATTGCACCAGGAATGAAAAAAAATACTCTGTATAATAAAGCCCCAGAGCCATTCTTTTTAGACTTACAGGAGTTGAACAAATTATAACAGGCTCAGAATTTAAGAAGAATCAGTTTCAAAGTTAAAACTGAATTAAAACACATAGCTCACAGTTACAGTACTGGTCACCAGAGTAAAATGTTCTCTCTGATCATGACTTCAGGCCAACATTAATTAAAAAGGAGAGAAGGAAATGGTGTGGATCTGGAAATGCATTACCTTCACCTACAAGGCCAGCCATAATGGCTCACCCAATTCATTCGACATTCAGTATTTCCTTCAAAAAATATTCCTGGATTACTTACAACACACCAAGCCCTATACTAGACATGGGGATATAATAGTGAGTGAGACAGACAGACACAGAGCCCGGGTACACTCACAGGGTCATCAAGTCAGCAACTACCTCCCACACAGGTCAGGCTCCCTTGTCTCGGACACATTCTCTTACCCCACTTACTTATGGCAACGCTCCCCCCCCCCAGCTCAAGTTCATAAAAAGAGAAACCAAAAGCCCAGTTGCCCCAAAGTTCCATTACAACTACTTGACATTTCTTGTGTGATTCCTTGAGAACAACTGATTCAGGGGCACCTGGGTGGCTCAGTCGTTAAGCGTCTGCCTTCGGCTCAGGTCATGATCCCAGGGTCCTGGGATCAAGCCCCGCATCGGGCTCCCTGCTCCGCGGGAAGCCTGAGTCTCCCTCTCCCACTCCCCTGCTTGTGTTCCCTCTCTCGCTATGCCTCTCTCTCTGTCAAATAAATAAAAAAATCTTAAAAAAAAAAAGAACAATTGATGCATATTTTCTCTCTACAGGGAATTCAGGCCTATTTTCTATTAAGTGCCCGAAACACCCTTCTTTAACTTATGTACCAAATTATCCCCTTCTTTTTCTAGTCATTTCTCAAACAGCACTTTTCTCAAAGCCCTTTTCTTGACTACAGTTAAGACCCCAGGAGGTGGCTAGTAAGTGACACAGGGACTCTGCCTCCTCAAAAGCCAGGTCACCTAATTATCACCTTTACTGTGCCCAAGGTAATTCCCTGGGCTCTCAGTTCAGTTTGTATGCTTTCTTGTTTGGACATATCTTAACATTTGTAGACAACTTTCCAGTCCTGAGGAGGGTTTGTAAACGGGTGATTTTCATAATTCTGCTGCTTCTTGAAGCAAACTGTTCCAGTGACATATTCCTCTGTCACAGTTAATTAATTTTTTCCTGGTCCTTATTTCTAATATCTGGGTGGATTACTACTGATATAAAGAAAACTGAAGGGGTACCTGGGTGGCTTAGTTGGTTAAGTGTCTGCCTTCGGCTCAGGTCATGATTTCAGGGGTCCTGGGATGGAGCCCTGTATCGGGCCCCCTGCTTAGCGGGGAATCTGCTTCTCCCTCTCCCTCTGCCCCTCCCCACTGCTTGTGCTCTCTCTCATGCTCCCTCTCTCAAATAAATAAAATCTTTAAAAAAGGAGGGGCAACCCTCTCGGGTCCCCTCCTTCTTCAGGAGCTTTGTACTATCACTCAATAAACCTTGCTTTGCTGCCCACCAGTCTGCCCCATCTACCTCTTCATTCTTCGAAGCGGTGTGACCAAGAACAGTGGACAGCGAAGGGAAAAGTCCTGTAACATGTGCTTCTAGAAATTATTAAATGTATCCTAAATTTGCCAGTCTGAAGAATGCTGTTATAACAAACAGTTCACCATTGTTTACTTCTTTGTTTTCCCCAGAAAGTAAGCCTTCTAAGGGTTAAGAATCCTAATTAATGTATGTAATTAAAGCTACTAGAAATAATAAGGGAAACAGCTCCACATGCAAGCAAAGTAAAATGTGTGCTTTAATGAGGAAAAAGAAAGCTATAGAAGGCTTGTGCAAAATAAATCTTTGGAAAGGAAAAAAAAAAGAAAGAAAACTGAAGATAGCAGACCCTAAAATGGATCATGCTCCTAAAATTCCATTTCGTATCAAAGAAAACCTATTTTCTAAAAATCTTTCATTCCGTTAAGGTTCCCATTTTAAGAAAGCTCTACAGGTCACTGTACAGGGACATAATAGTATAATGTCAGCAATTACTGGGGCCCTGCCCCACCACAGAAAAGTCTAAGTGATATGCCACGAGCCCTTGGACAGAAACCAGTTCTATGTCAAGGAGCCCCAGACTACGGGGCTCGCGTCTGAAGCAACAGAGGGCAATTAAGACTTCTTACTCCTCGTCCTGCAGGGTCTCCTCCTCCTCCTGGATCTGGAACTGGTTCTTCACAGGAGCGAGTATCTCCGTCTTGGCGTTGTAGTTCCGAAAGCAGACATTGAGCTTCTCGTCAAATTCGTTCACGAGGTCCTCCATGGACTTGAAGCTGATTATTTCGGAAGAAAAATTCTCCAGCTCAGAGAGGGAGGGGTCCTCTAGATGGTGGGGAGATGAGCCATAGAAACACTGTGGTTTCTCCTCCCGGTCCTCTGAGCAGCAGGGCCGAAGGTCCTCGAACTCTTCATCCAGACTCACCAGGGGGGCCTCCATTCTTGCCCAGCGATAGGACAGGGGCAACTCTCAGGACTCGTTTATCTAGGAGAAATAAACAAGGTAATGTGAGCTGGGGCTGGGCTTTTGTGCCAGCCCTGCTGAGGAGCCATAACCAGGTCGTCCCTGACTCTGGATCCCTCTGAAAATGAAAATTCCACTTTCCAGGTATCCATCACTGCTGCTCGCTGTTATACATGTGAGGCATTCAAACAGTGTCATCAGTGTGAATAACCTAAGAGGAGTAAACTTTGGACACATGCCTGCTTCCAGTGTCCTGCTCCCAAAGACAAAGCACAGTGGTTTAAGATGCAGCCCCTGGACCAGACTGCCTAGGTTTCCATCCTGTTTTGACCCTTAACAGTTGCAACCTGACAAGTTACTTAACTCTCTGTGCTTCCTTTTATTTTTTTCTCAAGACAGAAATAATAATCTGCAAGGGATTGTCTTAAGGGTTAAGGGAGTAAACCCAGGTAAGTGCTTAGAACAGTGTCTGGAAGATAATAAACATCATCGTTGTTCCATATGTTCTCCGTTTAATAACATTATTATTATTATTATCATTATTATTGTTCCCATAGGTCCACATCCTTAACCACATGCTCTGAACCAGAAGTCTTTCATAACTTATTTGGTGGCAAAACCTGACCTGACCTCACTTGGCAACTAAAGCTGATCTACATGAATATAAAGTTGCTTATGGTTTTAATTTATCCCATTTCGTGTGTTTTGCTGCAGAAATATTAATGTTTTCAATTATGGTGATTGCTGCTCCAAACCCCAGGAGGTGATATGCAGAATATGCACTCTGTTACTGCTTTCTAAAATGCCTGGGCCCAAGGGTTTTGGATAGGGATTCATGGACCTGGGTATTACTACCCTCATCAATAAATCATAGACCAATAGAGACTTTCAAACAAGCCCCTGAGCTTTTCTAATATACAGAGCTTCTTATTGGGGCTAAAGGAATGGATCAAATGATTGGTTATCCTGACAGAGAGAGACCCAACTACCCATGTGCTCCAAGGCCAGCCTCCATAACCATCTCAGGCACCCCCCACTGAAAGGCTGCATACTCGGGCCTGCTTTCTTTTCCATGGCTCTCGGTCCTCCTCATGCACTGCCTTCAACTGCGATTTATCCAACCATGTGGATATCCAAGCCCTTCCCCAATTTTAATTTAAATTCCTCAGGGGGCACAGACGTCCTCTGGACATCACGCATGGCTCCTAGCACGCCCTGGTGTGCAGCTAGGCAATCAATCAATGTGCGCTCATTGAAAAATGATCATCTGTCCCCCACATACCTTTTCTCATTTTCCATTTCAGCAGCCCAGCCTTGTTGTCTATCATACTCCACTGTCTTCCCTGTAAAATGCAAAGGCAACCAAACTTTCCTCTCCTGTCTGTGCGATTACTGGTCCAGTTAGATGCTGAAATTGGAACCAACACCCGAGGAGAACCGGACAGACAGCAAAAACCAGGGGTTTTGCCCTGCAGTGCCGTTCTCCCTCTCTGCCTATAAAACTTACACTCTACATAAGTGAGGCAAAGGTCATGCCAGGTGAGGACCTAGTATCGAGGACTATACTGGAATTGAGCCAATTACCATCACATCCCATCAAAACATATTCTAAGTATTTATGGCTCGCAAAGGCAACATGATAAGATATCAAGATAAACAGATATAAAAGCAGTATGATATCTTGGAAAGAACATATGCTCAAGAGCCAAACAGACCTGCCAATGTGTGGCTAAGTGACAAGCATCATGGGTCCTGTTTTTCTCATCTGTTAAAATATGAAGGTGTTGGTGTAGAGCTAATAGCTTTGCAAGTTAATTTTAATAACTTATTAACAATCTTAATTTTAATAATATATTTTAATAATGTATTTCATTTAATCCAATATGTCTAAAAGGTTGCCTTTCAAAATGTAATCTATATTTTAAAATATTAATGAAACAATTTACATTCTTTTTTCATACTAAGTCTCTGAAATCCAGTGGGTATTCACCGAACATTTCCATTTAGACTAGCCACAGGTGGCCCACGGCTACCATACTGGACAACATGGCTATAAAACAATACACAACTAATTGCCAGTCCAGGATTCTTCATCTAGGGTCTACAGATCCCTAAAAGGGCTCTTTGAATATAACTATATTTTATGCACTTAAAAACATATTTGGAGGAGAATCCCATAGGTTTCTCTACATTGCCAAAAGGGCCAATAGCACAAAAAAGATTGAGAATCCCTGAGTGCCAAAGTAAGTTGAGAAAAGATCACAGAGTACAACAGGGAGCAAGAAAAGGCTTTACAGATGAGGGATTTGTGTGGACTACAGCAGGACTCTGTGATGGTTAAGAGCCTGGACTCCAGGTTCCCCTCCTGATCCCATCACTTCTTAGGTGTGAGACTTAGGCAAATTATCAGCCTCTGATAAATTTGTGTCTCAGTTTCCTCATCCATAAAATGAGGTTTAAAATAGTATTTAGGGGCGCCTAGGTGGCTCAGTCAGTTAAGCATCCCACTCTTGGTTTGGGCTCAGGTCATGATCTCAGGGTCATGAGATGGAGCCCCACATCGGGCTCCGTGCTCAGTGATGAGTCTGCTTAAGATTCTCTCTCCCTCTCCCTCTGCTCCTTCCCCTGCTCATGCTCTCTCTCTCTCTCTCTCTCAAATAAATAAATAAATATTTTTAAAAACTAAAATAAAATAGTATTTAAGTTGAAGTTTATTTTGTAGAATAATGAAGATAATCTTTGGAAGTGCTAAGCACAACGTATGGCATATGTAGTGTCCAATAAATGTCAATGAATTTAGGAAAATGAGGATAACTCAGTTTCATGGAAATGTAGGGAGAGGGTGTTTCAAGTAAAAAAAAAAAAAAAAAAAAATTCCCCCTGCCATGACAGTCTATGTGCAATGCTCCAAATGTTGATCAAATGGTTTAACTATTGCTGAATAAACTTTATCACTTTTTTTTTTCGATTTTATTTGGTCAAAGCTTCTTGGAACACTGGCCCCATTTCAGAGAGACATGAAAGCTAACCAGCTGATGTTCCAGATATTTACACTTCCTTTAAATCTGTACTCTTCTCTAAGACAGAAGGGGGAGCTGGAAAGAGTAAGCGATACCAGTGGGGTGCTAGTTTGAAATGGCACAGTCTATACTATTAACCAGCAACAAGAGAGCAATCCAACCAGAATCTAAGACAAAGATTGAGATTGGGTGTTGGCAACAGGGGGGATTATGCTGAAAGCACCCATCCTCAGCCCAGGCAGCCTCTGGGGAAAATGGATTCACCTAGATGATTATAAAAGAAGAACAGGATACCACAGCTCCAGAGTTCAGAAACATGGTCATCTCAACAACCCACAATGCAGCCTGATTTCTTTTAATTGACTCACCGCCCAGGAGCCAAGAAGCTCTGGATGAATGACCACCCGGCGATGAAACAAAAACTGAAAGCCTGCACGGGAAACTGGAAGTTACTCAACACCCAAGCTGAGTCAGGTATTTGTAGAAAGACCCCAGGCTGTGGCAGAGGCCATGAAAGCCTGGCTCAAGGAGGGGCCTCTGGTTTGACGCTGGCCACCCTTCTGGAACCGGTGCCCCTTCTGTCCTTCATTCCGCTCACTTTCTTTGGCTCTTCTCCCTTAGTGAGGCGCCTTTGCACCCCCACTGAAATGCCCTACTCTTGCATCCTGACAAGCTCGGCCCTGTCTTCACTCCCAACTCATCTCCGAGGCCTCCTCCCTGAAAAGCTAGGGTTAATACAATTAACAGAGCTTATCCTCTGTCTCTACACTTCCCAAACCAACTTTTAAAAAAAGGCAGGCAGGAAGAATGGCAGGAAAAGGGAACCGCAGAAGGGTCACCTTGCCTTTTTCTCTGTATCCTAGAACACAGTGCAGGGCTATAGTTTATGTCGTATAATCTATTCCATTTACTTTGGCTCCCGATAGGGTATAATTTGGAAAAGAAACGACGGCTCTGAGCTTAACAGAGATCTGGTAGGAAACACAGAAGCCTCTCCCTTGCAGCATAATGATGCAGCTTGGGGCTGCAGTAACAAATTTTCACTCCCTGCTTTGCTGAGCTGAGCAGAGTGAAGCGGGAGCAGAGGAGAATTCACCATGCCTCCCCCTGCTGGGCCTCTGCACCTCCACAGAGGCCCCATTCCATCTCCCCCTTCTTCCTATTACCTGTCCCATAGATCAGTTGATTTCTAGCCCCTCACACGCCCCATCCCTAAAATCTGCCCTGCACTGATCCACCGCAGTTGTCCCACTGCTGCTCAGCAAAACCAGCCAGGACACAGGACTGTGCCGGCTTCCCATTTTCACAGAAAGAGTATTTCGTTGCATATTAAGTCAGCAACCCCTTTGCGGTTCTGCTTCCCCCTCTTTCCCCTCCTCCTGCTGCTCCATTCACCCTCATTTCACATCCCCCTCTCGACACCCCCCCCCCGGGTCCGTTGGGGTAAAGAAAGGCTTTTCCAAGCAGCACAATGGCTGGCGCTCCAAGAAAGCTGGGCTCACCCCGAGCAGGCCGCACACATACTCCACAGCCCTTCGGCCAAACAAGAGCGGGACACGGGAGTGGCAGGGAGTTCCGGGGGTGTCGAGCGGCGAGAAGGGAAGGGATAGGCAAAAAAGAAGAGAGGGCTGGAATAACACGCCCGTCCTAGGGCTCTGTCAAGCCTCGCGCCTCTGAGCCCCAGAGGCCCTGGGCCCACCGGAGGGCAGCGCCCCCACCGCTACCACCACCCTCGTCCTTTCTCCGACCTGTTCCGTAGTAAAACAATCGTTCCCGCAGCGCCTGCGGCAGCTGATAGAGGTTCTGACACTGCAGGAATGCATGGTCCTGGGGACGGCCTCGGCACCCCAGGGAGGGGCACGGGCGGGTGCGGGCTCAGGCTCTTAGGGGCATAGATGACTCTGGGGCGTTGAAGAGTAGCCAGACCAGATAACGGTCCAGGGAGGAGGTACAGACCCACTGCCCCACACCATCGGGCAGCGTTCCCGGTTCCCCCAGCCCCCAGACAGCGCCGCGCCTCCCTTCTCTCTCTCTCTCTCTCTCTCTCTCTCTCTCTCTCTCACACACACACACACACACACACGCGCACACACACACACACACACACACACTCGCACGCACACGCACGCCAGGCCTGGCTGGGGGGCCGAGGCTCTGATCTGATGATGCTTGAAGTGCCCATCATCCCACAGCTCCCGACCCGGGGGCTGCGCTCCCGTGAAGGGCTGGGCAGGAGGGCGACGGCCTCGGGGCTCTTCCGTTCCGATTCCAGGATGGGACGGGCTGGGGGCGCGGGGCTTCGGCACCCCCCGACCTGCTGGCCAAGAAGCCGGAGTCGCGGGGCCCCTCCTTCTCCACCCCCGTCCAACCCCCACCCACGGCAGTGGGTCGGCCGGGCTAAGGTCGCCCCCCGCGACGGCACCTGTCCGGGTCCTGGTGGAGGGAGGCGGATCGCGGGGCTCAGCGGGACACCCCCATCCACGGGCCGCGGGGAGCGGCGGGAGCACAGCGCGGCGGCGGCGGCGGCGGCAGCGGCAGCAGCGAGCCAGCGAGCGCTCCCCCCGCAGCTCGGCCGGCGCCCGGCTCCGCTCCCCTCCTCCACCCCGCCCCCTCCGCCCCCTCCCCGCGCTCGTGCCCGGACGCTCGGGGGCGCGCCCGCGCTCGGGCACCCGCCCGCTGGCACGCGCCGGGCCGGACGTCATCTCCTCATTAGCATTCCGAGCCTTCCCTGCAGCATGCGGCCTGCCTTTATTAATATTTATGACTTACTATTTCTCCCCCCTCTAACATTGGACATTCTGCTTCCCTCATGAATATTCAGAAGCTCCAAGATGTGTGCGTGCCGTAACTCCCAATACGGATACCTCACAGCGCCTGACACTGTAGATTCTCCATAAATACACAGGCAGGTGGCTGAGTGGATGGGCAGGCGGATGCCCTCAAACACACCAAAGACTCCCTTGGACTTTTTTGGGCTCTGACTCATTCTACTCTAATGGAGACCGAGGTGGGCAAGCTGAGGGATGCCTGCCAGTCCAAACCCAGTTCAGACCTCAAGCCAAAAGTGATAAAGGCGTTTACCGCCCCAAGGTGCAGGATGAGAGCTGGATCCAGGCTGATAAAGCTGAGTGAGGTTTCTGGCACAGGAGGACTTGAGGTAATAGAGGATAATTCATCAGGGGATTATAAGGAAGGACCCTGGGGTCTTATGAAAATTAACTCCTCATTCATTTATCTTGTCCACTATGCATAAGTCTGTCCTTAAGGATGCTGTCAATGCAAAGTCTAATAATTCATGAAAGCAGATAACTAAAAGCACAGGCACTGCAGGTATCAATGGAAGGCACCTGATGAGCATGTCTGCTTGGAGAACCCAAATACTTTGGTCGAGTTAGAGATGAAGTCAGATCAACTGGCGGAAGGGTGGTGAAGGACCCCTGGGCAACGCTGAGAGCTTCCGCTGAAAGCAGCTGGAGCCCTTTTTTTTGCTCATTTATGCATTCATTCCACAGACATTTCAATCGTGAGACAAAGGTGGAGCAAGGGAATAAGGTCCCATTGAGAGGAAAGGAAGAGTTGGTCACTTTGCCCTTCAGGCGGCGTCAACCAGATAGAGTGGGGGAAAAAGAAGGTGGTCGGGGCGCCTGGGAGGCTCAAGGGCGTTAAGCGTCTGCCTTCGGCTCCGGTCATGATCCCAGGGTCCTCGGATCAAGTCCTGCACCAGGCTCCTTGCTCAGCAGGAAGGCTGCTTCTCCCTGTGCCCCTCCCCCTGCTCATTCTCTCTCTTTCTCTCTCTCAAATAAATAAATAAATAAAAATCTTTAAAAAAATAAAAAGGAGGTGGTTAAAAGGTCCCTGAGTCGGGGCAACGTGACTGGCTCAGTCAGTTAAGCGTGGGACTCTTGATTTCAGCTCAGGTCATGATCTCAGGGTCGCGGGATGGAGCCCTGGGTTGGGCTCCTTGCTGGGCATGGAGTCTGCTTGAGATTCTCTCTCTCCCTCTGCCCTTCCCCCACTCTCTCTCTCTAAAATAATTTTTTTAAAGATTTTATTTATTTATTTGACAGAGCAAGACACAGCAAGAGAGGGAACACAAGCAGGGGGAGGAGGAGAGGGAGAAGCAGGCTTCCTGCTGAGCAGGGAGCCGGAGGTGGGGCTCGATCCCAGGACCCTGGGATCATGACCTGAGCTGAAGCCAGGCGCCCTCTAAAATAAATCTTTAAAGAAAAGGGGCAGAGGTTGAGCGCCTGGGTGGCTCGGTCAGTTAAGCGTCTGCCTTCAGCTCAGGTTGTGATCCCAGGGTCCTGGGATCGAGTCCCCCCACATTGAGCTCCTTGCTCAACAGGGAGCCTGCTTCTCCCTCTGCCCGCTGCTCTCCCTGCTTGTGCTCTCTCTCTCTCTCTGACAAATAAATAAATAAAATCTTTAAAAAATAAAAATAAAATATTTTTTTTTAAAGGGGCCCGTGAGTCTCCTTTGTTGGGATGATAACCCAGTTCTGTGACTTAGGCAAGTTAACCTTCTTGTGCCTCATTTCCTTGTCAGTAAAATGAGGATAAATAAATAGCACCCACCTCTGAGGCCGGTCGTAGGATTAGAGTTAATATATGTAAAGTACTTTCAGGCACAATAGAAGGTACTATGTAAGTTTTGGTCATTATCCTCTTTAGGAGGAGCTTGGGGACACTGTACCAGAGGCCACCTTCTGTCCTGATGTTCAAAGCATGGGACTCACAGGTTTGAAGAGGTTTTCGAGGAAACACAGCAAAGTGATAAAGAGCTTGGGCTTTGCAGAAAATTTAGGGTCAAACCCCAGTGTTCTGTGTATCAGCTGGTGACCCTGCACAAGTTACTTAGCAGCTTTGAGCCTCAATTTCCTCATCTGTAAAGTGGGGATTCCAATATCTCCTACAAGTTTATTGTGCAGATTAAATAAAGTAATGCATGCAAAATGCTTAACATAGTGCCTGACATATAGTAAGTATTCAAAAGGGGAATTCTGTTGTTCTTATTTTTGTGAGGATTTAAAGGAACTAGAAGCTGACAACTGATACTCTAGGCATCTGGAATGAGATTGTCCTAAAACACAAGCAAAGTTATCCTTCCAGCAAATATTTCTTTCATTTAATTATGGTAAAATACATACAACATAAAATTTACCATTTTAACCATTTTTAAATGCACAATCCCGTGGCATTAAGTACCTTCACATTATTATTGCCGTCATCACCTCTATCATCCCAAATTGAAACTCTGTATTAATTAAATAATAAATCTCCATTCCTTCTTCCCTGCACACCCTGAAACCACCACTCAACTTTCTGTCTCTATGAATTTGACTATTCTATGTTTGTCCTTTTGTGTCTGGGTTATTTCACGTAGCATATGTTTTCAAGGTTCATCCATGTTGTAGCATGGGTCAGAATTTCATTCTTTTTTAAAATGGAATGATGTTCCATGGTGTGGATATACCACATTCTGTTTTGTTTTGTTTTGTTTTTTTAAGATTTTATTTATTTAATTGACAGAGAGAGACACAGCGAGAGAGGGAACACAAGTGGGGGAGTGGGAGAGGGAAAAGCAGGCTTCCCGTGGGGCAGGGAGCCCAATGAGGGCCTCGATCCTAGGACCCTGGGATCAGGACCTGAGCCAAAGGCAGTCGCTTAATGACTGAGCCACCCAGGCGCCCCGTTTTTGTTTTTGTTTAAAGATTTATTTATTTATCTTAGAGAGAGAGAGTGCGTGAGTAGGGGGAAGGCCAGAGGGAGACGGAGAGAGAGAATCTCAGACTCCCCGCTGAGCAGGGAGCCCCACTCGGGGCTCGATCCCAGGACCCTGAGATCATGACCAGAGCCCAAATCAAGAGTCGGACGCTTAACTGACTGAGCCACCCAGGCACCCCTAGCTGAGGCGATTTTTAAAGCTTTTTTAAAAATGTGGCCCAGCATCCCCTTGCTAAGCTTAGGGTAAAATGCAATGAGGAATGGTGGCCTGGACCCCCTGCACTCCTGTGCATTGTGTTGCACATAAGGTTTCTGAGAATTTTATCCCAGCAGAAACACTGCCAGCCTGGGCTGAAAAGATCAGGGATGGGATGAAATGAAGGAAGACTGTTCGACTTCTGAAATCCACAGTCAGGAAACAGCCTGATTGAGGCGCTCGGCTACGAACACCTGGTGTCCTCCAAGAAGAAGGAAGAAGGCAGCTCCGAAGGCAGGGTGGCTACCCTGGACCTGGACGATGGCGCTCTGAGGCACAGAGGATCGTTCTCAGGCCTTGAAACCTCACGGAATTTGCCCTGCTGGGTTTCAAGCTTGCTTTAAGTCACTGGTCCTTTTCCTCCTTCCACTTTCTCCCTGTCCTACCCTTGTATTATAGAAGCCAACCAGTTCCACTGGTCCATAAAGGGAGGGCAAGTTTGCCCGAGGGGGTATCACACCCACCAGTTCACCCATCCCTGATTTAGAGGATCACATCTGGAACTTTTTGAGTGGATGACATTTTGATGAGATCTAGAGTTAATGTTGAAATGGGTCAAGACTTGGGAATGTTGGGATGGAATGAATGTATTTCGCACAAGAGGACCAGAGGGCAGACTGTAGTGGGTTGGATAGTGTCCCCCCAAAACTCATGTCCACCCATGTCCTAGTCCATTCAGGCTGCTATAACCAAGTACCACAGTCTGGGTGGCTTATAAACAACAGAAATTTATTTTTAGTGCTTATGGAGGCTGGAAGTCCAAGAGCATGGTGCCAGAATGGTTTCCAGGGAAGGTTCTCTTCCGGGTTGCAGATGGCCATTTTCTGACAAAGTAGAAGGAGCTAGGGATCTCCCTTGGGCCACCTTTATAAAGGCACTGATCCCATTCATGAGGGCTTCACTTCACCTGTGAGGTTCGCAAAGGCCCCACCTCCGAGTACCATCACACTGGCCATTGGGTTTCCAACCTGTGACTTTTAGGAGGACACAAAAATTCAGACCCTAACAACCCCAAACTGTAGCATGTGACCTTACTTGGAAATAGGGGTTTTGCAGATCTAATTAATTAAGATGAGACATACTGGATTAGGGTGGGCCTGAAATCCAATAACTTGGTGACATTGTTAAGGCCGTCTCAAGAAACTAATACAGAATCCCAGAAGAAATATATAAGATAATTCAACATTCAACTCATATTAAAACCTCCTATGTGCAATCCATGTAAAGCTTTGGCACAGGACCTAGCAAATTGTAAGTGCTCAATAAGTGCTGCTTATATGTTATTGTTAAAAGTTTCAAAAATCTTCCTTAGGGTAGATAGTAGAGCTATCCCCACCTCCCAACCTCAGTTAGTCCAATTTTATTTATACATACTTAAGAGCTTTTAGAGCTTAAGAGAGTTTCCAAGCAAATGACATTCCCATTAGACAAAGTGATCAGTGCTTTAAAGAAGATATAAAGTGGGGGTTTTAAAAGATTTTATTTATTGGGGTGCTGGGTGGCTCAGTTGGTTAAGCGGCTGCCTTCAGCTCAGGTCATGATCCTGGAGTCTCGGGGAGTCCCGCATCGGGCTCCCTGCTCAGCAGGGAGTCTGC